AGGGATTATCAGCTCTGGCAAAAATGCTCATTCCCTTTCTGTGGCCCAGCAGCCAGAGTCCTCAAAGGATGAACTTGGAAGGATCAAGCACATAGTCTGAGACAACGGGCACGTTTTGAATGAGGGCTCGGTGAAGGCAGAAATCTTTGATATGTTGGCACTACTTAAGTCGCACAGGACCTCCGTATATCTCAAAAAAGAAAAATCTCCAATAATGACAGAGATTGAGTTGCCTGCCAGCTCAATATATAAGGGTTTTGAAATCAGATCAAACTGAGTTTGAACTTGTTTCCACTTAACACCAATAGTTTGTTCCTAGGGAAGTAACCTGAGCCTAATACTCTTCATCTACAAAATAGTGATGATATTCACAGGGTTGGTGTAAGACTTTAATAGTCACTTTAAATAGTCAAAGTTAACATTGGCAGTTATTGGATAAACTGACATCATGTGCCTCCTAATATGACACATTGAGATGTATTTCTGCTAAAAATGTATAATCTCAATCTAACAGTGAAGAAACATCATCAAACCAAAACCAAGGAATAATCTGAAAAATAACTAGTCTGTACTCTTAAAAAATATTAGGGTCACTAAAGGCAAAGACAGACTAAGGAATTAACTATTCCAGATGTATGCATTAAGATGTATGGTGCATGCATTAAGAATGTAAAGTGCTTAATGCAATATTCCACTTGCACTAGGCAATCAGAAAATAGGAGCTATTTTAATCTTATTCGATAATTATTTATTGAGATCCCATTATGATTATGTTTCATGCCTTATGTTAGGCACTGTGTACAAAACAGCAAAAGTAATTGAATAAAATAGACCTGTTCTCAAGAAGCTTAGAGCTTACCAGGTTTAAAAACCATCATGAACCAATCTGAGAAAAATCTTCGTGTTTTAATTTTTTCAAAGGAACCAAAAAATAATTAGATCCAAATATGGAGAATTACTTGGTGATCATGCTGAGTGATACCCTTTTTGATCAAATTCAGTTGAGATGTTAAAGTAACAAAACAAACTTTCTTGGGCAGCCCTATTGAACTTTTAAAAATTTATTTTCAGCAACCCTAGCATCGTTAGATTAAATATATATTCCCAAGGTGACTACTTTGACAATAGTCACTGAAATGTATAAACTCTTGTATGTCTGATTAAAAAGAGAACTCATTAATCATTCATAACCATTTATGGGTAGCATGAGGAGAAGACAGCAATGAAAGTCGTCAGTAATGCTTACAAAATGCCTTACATATATGTATACACTACTGTCTTTGTCTATACCATTGATATACATCCCTAAGCAGTAACAAATAATGGGTCTAGAGGTATTCATTACTCCATAGAAAACACCTCAATTCCTTGATTATCCTGTTTAAGTAATCTGATTCTGTCAAACGGCTTGAAGGGCTCCTACTGGCAAAATTGAGGACTATTTGAGCACCAACTATTTAATGATAGTAATTGACCATAACTCAATGAACAA